TTCTGTTATTTTATTAAAAAATCCCAATTTTGAAAAAATTTCGATTTGCTTGGTTTCTGTTGACTCAACCCCATATACTTATGAGAACACTACTATTATTAATAGTGAACAGTAAAAATTTATACTGTGCACAAATTTATAATGGCGAACACTAATGGTCACCAGGTCACAAGATAATAAATATTCAAAATACAGAAATTTATTGTTATTACTCTTAGGTGATAATCACGGGTTGTAACTTAGTATGAAAGCGCATTCATTCAAGATCTGTTAACATGAATGTAGCATATATGTTTATCCATAATCATGTATTTAAAGCAGACCTTTAGACCTTAATAAATAAACATCAGAGCTAAACTGTGCATATAAGCCCGTCGCTTTCCCAGCCCAGATGGTAACACCGTTACTCTTAAAAAGTAGTTTTATAAAGTTTTTATTCCGGTAAACAGTCATCAGATCACAAGATAATCAATATTCAAAATACAGAAATTCATTATTACCCTAAAAGACTACCGTTACTCTTAAAAGTAGCTTTATAAAATTTATTCCGATAAACTTCTTATACATGGCACAAAATCTATATTCGCTTTGGAATAAATCCGACAATTAAATATTAATTACAGTAAAAAATAAGAAATCACTTTAATATTGTTCTTATAGGAAGTGTTTGATCTAAAATTCAAAGATTGATTTGAACATGTATGATGACTGGAATTAAAAATTTATTATTTCTTCTCAATGTTTGTTAATCAAAATTCATTAAAAGTCCCGAAAGACATTGATCTTTTCATGCAAATATTTCTTCTTTCCCTCACCAAATTCACTCACTACGTGTCCGTTTCCACAAAGCTTGTATTTGTAGATTAATAGTCCTTCAAGACCAACAGGACCACGCGCATGAGTTTTGTTTGTGCTTACCTGTATCATTTCCGAATTTAATTAAAAAAAGGTTAACAAAAAAAGAAATAAAGACAATATAAGGACAATATAGACATACCCCAACTTCGGCACCAAAACCATACCGAAACCCATCAGCAAATCTAGTGCTCGCGTTCCAATATACACCTGCTGCATCAACACCTTGCATAAACCTTTTGGCAATTTGCTCATTTTCTGTTACAATAGCGTCTGTGTGTTTACTGCCATGAGAATTTATATGTTGTATTGCTTCTTCAACATCACTAACCACTTTTACAGCCATTTCAAGATCCAGAAATTCAGTGTCAAAATCTTCAGGAATGCATGATTGAATTCGAGAAGTATCATAAGATGGTGGGAGTTGAGACAATGATTCTTGATCAAGGTGCAATAAAACATTGTTATTTTGTAAAGCGGTAACAAGTGGCAAAAGATGCGAAGAGAGGATCGAACGGTGAATAAGAAGGGTTTCAGCAGCATTGCATGCAGCAGGATAATTAACCTATGTTAAATAATGTTAATCACGAGAAAACTAAAGTATAAACCGAAATCATAATATTATTTAAACTTGCTTTTGAATCGACAACAACACGGATTGCCTTATCAAGATCAGAATCTTTGTCAACATATACAGTACATAGCCCATCAGCGTGACCCAAAACCGGTATCCTAAAATTAAAAATAAAAAATAAAAAAAAACTGCCCGTTAATTTTCTGAATCAAATGATGACCTTTCAATATAATAAATAATTACATTGTTTACCTTGTTCTGCCCTGTATATATCTCACTAAATTGTTACTTCCTCGCGGAATTACCAAATCAATATATTTATCCAGATCTAGCAAAGCATCAATTTCTTCTCGCGTTTCGACAAGTTGAATGGCATTTGGCGGGATTACGGTATCATTTAGAGCAGATTGAATAGCAGAAGATAGGGCAGTTAATGTAAGGATAGATTCTTTTCCACCCTTTAAAATCGCCGCATTGCCTTTTAATTATTAAAAAAATTCATTTAATTATCTTTATAATTAAAATGGAAAAAGATAATTAAATAGTATAAGGTTTTACCTGATTTTAGAGCTAATGCAGTTATATTTACAACAACTTCAGGTCTTGCCTCAAAAATTACCAATAAGACACCAACAGGGCAGGTGACCCTAAATAATTCTAATCCTTCATCAAGTTTACTTGAATATGTTATTTGTCCAATGGGATCAGGTAAACGATCAATATCAGAAATTCCTTGAAGCATGGTAGCAAATTTGTCACCACTTTCCAAGTCCAATCGCTTGAATAAGGACGCGGAAAGTGTACCAGCCTTTACAAGTTTATCTGCATTCTTTTATTAAAAATAGAAATGTAAGGTGAATATAAATTACAGTACGTTAATATAATACAAGAAAAACTACCTGCTTGTCTTGTTCGTTCGCTTTAAAAATGTCGCGCTTTTTGTTTTCAAGAACAGCTTTTATTCTATTAAGAGCGAAGCTCCTATCTTCTGCTGTTAGATATTGAAGTTTATTGGAGGCTTCTCGTGCATTTATTGCAATTTGAACTAGTGAATCCTTTAACATTGCAAATTTTGCAATTAACAAATTTTTATAGTGGTTCCAGTAACAACAATGTTAAATTGTTATCGTTTGCGCGCAGACACCATATTTGGTAATAATTCATAAATCTATTGTTACGTTACCTCGAGGTAGGACCGTCCATGTTACACAAGCGATCCCAATTGATAAAAATTTTTTTTTATACGTTTTACAGTACTTTTTTCGGAAGCTCGGGTAGATTATCTCATCTATGAAACAGGAAAAGTGCACTAAGTGAACTTGAAGCTTTCACTCTACCCTACAACATATTCGCTGAATCCATCTGAATCCAACCGCCTTCATATATTTTTTTTTTGCTAAAGTTATGTCTAAAATTAGGAAATGCGGCAACTGCCCTGCCACCGATTTAACGAGATTTCGTCCACTAAAAGACGAAAAATGGAGAGAGGTTGAACGTAGAGGCTTAATAAGAGATAAGTGGGAAGAGGGTATTATCTTGTGTAATAAATATTATATGAATTATGTTGAAAATCTGTTAAAAAGAACTGCTAAACAAACGAAAATTTCAGTTCAAGAGGTAGAATCTAATATTAGGGAAGAACTAATTAATGAAGATGTAGAAGTTATAAACGAAGAGATAAGTATGGTCGACCTCGTTGGGGCTATCAAGACAATGGCAAGAATCTTCTATTATAGAGAACATATAACGAATAAAAGTCCTATATATTCGTATGATGAATTACAAGAAGAATTTCAAACCAATAAGGGCTTAAAAAATTTTCTTGACCAACTTTATTTGGCGGCTAGACTGCTTGAACGTACAAATCAAACCATGGATCATATGAAAAAATTAATAGTACATATATGTTATCTTCTTTTATCATTAAATAATATAAAGATTAATGCTTTTAAATTCAATTTAGTGTATTATTTGGATTCTGTAGGTACGAGTAATAAAGGTTGGATACAATGGCAACTCTTGGTGTGGCTACAACATCAAGGGCGGTAGACCGAAAGAAAAAGAAAATTCCAGACGCTCATGAGAAATATGTAGAGAATGCTCTTTCAAAATATTTGAATAGAGCTTTCGTGCTGAATATTGATGACTTTTACAATATTTATGTTTCACGGCAGTCTGATTCTACTAGTATATCCCGTCCAACACACATGGCAACAATTGTGGCAAATTCATGTCCCATGGTGGCAATACCAAGTAACAGGGTGCTCAATCTAAAATTTCTTGATAGCGATCTTATAATAAAACATCTCGATGAACGGTTTATTATAAGCCTTGGTATTCCATATCAAGAACGTTGTCAAAATTATAGAGGTGAGTGTTCTGACGAAGAGCTCATTGAAAAACTAACTTTGCATAGTTACAATGACAGGTTAGTAGAAAAAAAGAGCGACCGACATATACAAAACGTCATTCTTTTTGATTTTGTTAGAGGCAATTTGAAGAGGGTGGAAGATTATACAAAAGCTCTTCAAATTGTATATAATCAAGAATCGATACAAGAATATCTTTTCAACCATGTAATCCCTATCATTGCAGATTGGCCTGGCCAGTTCTTTATTCGCAAGGCTATTGCGCACTGGCTTCTTCTCAACAATGAAATCATTCCCTCATTTGTTACGTCGTTCTTGCCTATTATGGGACCCCTTCATGTGTCTTTGAATAGTTGAGAACTCATTTATAAGAAAAATTTCTTTCTATTTAACGATATTTACAAAGGCATATTTGGAAAAAAGAAAAATCTTGGTAAGAAGTCACGGCCATGGCGAATTGATTTAATTCTTCAACTTATGCGTATGGCGTGGCTTGACATATCTAACGTAGTTTATTCGAAGTTTGGTCAAACATGCAAGAATTTTGAATTTTTATATCTAACCGATCTTTTGAGCAATTTAATTCCTTTAGTTCTCGACGTTTATGCGGTGCACTATCAAGGAGGTGACTGGGCAGCTTATGAAGAAGCCTGTCTACGTTGTTGGAGTGATTTATTTCTTCGATTTGATCGAAGAAATTATAAACATGCTCCTTTAATGTTTTTTTTGGATATATTTTTTTAGACAGATACTAACCATCCAATAATGAATATAATTACTAATCATCTTGCATCTTTAAGCGATTGTCCTATAGAAACCGTTCATAGTATCATTCGACGACGTACGGCTAAATTTTATACGGCGGACCAATTGCAAAAAGAGGCACATTGTATGTTTCAAAATCGAGAGGATAACGTGTTTCGTCAACATTTTGTGAATTCTATGAAGTATCCTTACAAACCGAAGCAATTATACATGTTATCTCGCAAGTGTGCTACAGTCTTTTTAGAAATATTTACGAAGATATATGAAGCACGATATCTGTATCCTTTGATCGTTAGTTCGTCTGATGATGGTATTAATTCATATAAGTTGCCTTCTTTAGGCTATGAGATAACCGATCACCACCTTCCAAGGGGTTTCGTTACTTCCAGGAAACCGTTTACAAGTGTATTGTGTGATTATTTACGCTGCGATTGTACTAATTATACAAATTTTTCTGAAAATGGTATTGTCCTTGCATGTGGGCATGGTTATCATAACCGTTGCTTACAAAGATGCAACTTTAAGTGTTTAATTTGTTTAGGTTATCTTCAGGATAAGATTAGAACAAACATCAAAGCACTCAAAGTAAGTATGACAAAAGATTTAGGTGAAAATGAATTTATTGAAGAGCGTACTGAAAATACTATTGAGGATGAATCAGACGATGCTGAGGCAGTAATGGATAATGTAGAAATGGTGGATAATTTATTAGAAAATGCAAAAAACAATTTTTTAAATATTAAATAAATCTGACCCCTTAATTATTATCAAAATTAAATGTAATATATTAAAACATTTTAATAAATCCCATGAGATATTTTGTAAATTTAAATTTTAAAATTTTTTAATAAATCCTGTGGTATCTAGTAAAATGTTTATTATAAAGATCTCGATGTTCCAATCCTTGCGAATGAATTGCTTCTAATTTCCTGAATTCCCTTGATAGCCCATAGCATTTCAAGAACGATAATTTTTATATCCGATCTTGTAAAATGCTTCAAATTTCAATAAATAAATAAATAAAAATAAAAAAAATTTTCAAATTTTACAATTATTGTTATAGAATTAAAAAGATACTTATCGTTATTGTTTGCTAATAGTCAAATTTCGTAATTTTGATTGGTTGAATCGGTATGATGATCGGCGGTCCTGAGTCAAACCATGGTTTCCATATTTGGGACGGTCCTACCTGTATACGTTACCGTTAGGGTGATTGATCAACATACTAACAACTAGTGTTTTGAACCATCAACTGAAAGTTTAACCGGGGCTGATCCGGGTAGACTTCCGGGTATTCCCAGCCAATCGCTGATGTTTGTTTACATCGGGTAAAATAGGATTAACGCATCCTATTTTACCCGATATAAACAAACATCAGCGATTGGCTGGGAATACCCAGAAGTCTACCCGGATCAGCCCCGGTTGAACTTTCGGTTGACGGTTCAAAACACTACTAACAACAGATGATAGCAAAGCCTGGTATAGCTATGAATAGAAAAACAATTAGATTATTTGTCAGACAGATAAAATTAAACATATTCATAGGATGACATTCGTCTGAATGGCTGATGTAAATCAATTGCCCGAGTAACTTATTTATACACTTTAAAGTACTTTTTAGAAACACTCACCATAAAAGCCATTTTTTGCTTTAATAGAACATCTATATTCCCTATACAAAAATAATCAGTATTTCTGCAAACTTTATTAAGAAGGCAAAATATGTCTACTGTTTATTAGACTATATCAAATTATACTGTAAAGTGAAGGTAACCAGAAATGTTTTCATTTAAACTATTTTATTATGTTAGATTTAAATAAATTTTATTTTTAACTGTTTAATTTGAATAGGTACAAGCTTTTTAACAAGAAGATCTAGGCTTAATATTTAAATTTGGTCAGTTCTTGTCATGTGTTTGAGCTTGTCAACCATGAATTAATAGTTAAAGTTTTAATAGGTTTAATTTATATCTTTATATGATAGATTTTTTGATAGTTTGGGTTTATCAGTAATAAATATCTTATTTACCTACTCTACACATATCGATCTATTCTCTACATATTAATAATAAATTCTTTTGCATATACAGTGAAACCTCCCTAAATGCATGTCGCTGGGATGGGCTATAATGTGTGCATTTAGGGAGGGTTGCAATTAAAGAACAGCCAATTATATTTTGGTATTATTCAAGTCAAGTGAATATACTAGCCAATAATAATATACAGTATTTATTATTATATAAAGATTCACTATCTATATCGCTATCTATATCACTATCTATATTTTCAACTAACACATAAAATTTTTTTTTTTTATGATTTATAACTATATATAAAATAACTTATAAAAAAACTCACAACTTGTTTAGAGATCACAAACTTGATTTAATAAACTATGGTGATTTACAAAAAGATAATATTTAGAGTTTCATTATAATTTGTTTAAAGTTTTATAAGGGCTCTGCTAACGGTTTTCTCTTAAAATCGAAACCTTTAATATAAAAAACTAAAGGCTTAATGTCAGCGTTATTATAAAGATCTCTGTCAGTACTTTCTTCCTTTAATGTAAATATTTCAAGATTCAAAGAGATAAAATTAGTGGTTTGTAAAATGCTAGTAATCTAGCTAGCTGACTCGAAGTAAGTTTCAATATTTGTTTGTTTGAATGCTACATTTTGAAGCTTTCTTATATCTTTCTGTAATTTTAATAAAGCCTCATCATGTTCAGACTGGGCTTTTTTGCTAAAATCTTTCTGCACAATATAATGCTCAATTAGTTCTATTGCATTTAATACTTCTTGATGACTAACTTGATGCATTTCTACACTATCATTATCATTACTTTCATTCTCTAAAAGTTCAGGATTAGCGGTTAAGTTCAAAATTTCTTGATCATTCAACACTTCATGTACATTACTTTCTTCTGGGTA